CGCATGTTGGTGTCGTGTGCAGCGTCTAACAATTTCTCCCGCTTAGAGTTGACCTCCCGGTGTTATCGCGAAGTTGTTGTTTCATTTATCGCCAAGTTGTTGTCTCATTTATGACAACATGAGTAGTTGAATGCTAGGGAAACCCTATTATGACGTAATCGATTACGGTGAATTTGAATCATGGGAAAAATTTGGAAAGTGCGTGTCGGAAGCGCGGCAAGGGCTTGTGTGTGATGGGATAAGTAAGTTGTTATTTTGTGGTTTACACGGTAAATTGGCTGAATGTGGTAAGTTTAATTTGAAGTTTCTGTAGGATTTGGACGAAAGGGGAAAAAGCCTTAATTGAGTGGTGTGTAAATGAAGGTTTACTTAGTAGCCGTTATTATTAAGGTCCTGTTTGGAGGAAGAAAATGCGTATGGTCGAAACATCGGATATTTTCGAACGGAGGATATTTTTTACTCTTACTTTTGTGAATTTATGTGGCGACACCAGTATACAGATTCTAGTTCAAATAATTTTAGGAAGTGTTTGGACGCTGTTAAGGAATTTTGTTTGACTGAAGACGCGTAAATTCGTAAATAAGGTAAGTAGATATTTCCTTCGTGGTAGTGCTAAGATGATTCGTGTAGTTTCCTTTTTTATATTATTTCATTGTTTGGTTTAAAATGTCATATTATATATATATTTTTTTGGCTGCTCCTTTGACATTTTTAAGTAAAAATATGCGGATGTGTACATGGGTAAAGTCAAGAGAGTGCGCAAGGCCATTTTTGTGAAATTCTGGGGTGTTTTTTAAAGTGAAAATAGGTCGATGTGTACATGAATACCGAGTTTGTGCAATTCTTTGTCTTGTTATTTTGATTTTGTCTACAAAGCCAAAATAAAAAGTCAAAGAATTGCACAAACTCGGTATCCATGTACCGCCAAAAATCCATGTAACGCCAAAAAACGTTTCGCCAATGGGTACCCTACAATATACTGCTACCTTTCTCCTACCTCAGACTAGATCTCAGTCTGTGTGCTTATTTCCCTCGTTTTCGAAGCATTTTTGATGGTTGGGTTCGCATTTTTTGCTTTTTGTACATTTACAAAACATTATCGCACTTATTTTTATAATCATGGGTCCGAAGAAGAAGATGAAGTCTCTTGAATTAAAACGAGAAATTATGGAAAAAATGAGCAAGGTGTGCGAGTAATTGAATTAGCAAGAATGTCCGGGCGTAGCACATCAATGATATGTACTGTGCTTAAACAGAAGGAGTTGACAAAGGGTATAACGCCAGCTGAGGGCGTTACAATAATTTCTAAGCTCCGGATCTCTCTCTATGAAAAGATGGAGAAACTACTGATGGTGTGGGTGACAGAGAAGCAGCTTCAAGGAGGAACCTTAACACAAAGCTTCATATGTTAGAAGGCACGAGCGATTTACGGTGATTTTCTGAAGCAGATCCCACATACTTTCCCAAACGAGGAATCGGAAGACTCGTTTAAAGCCAGTCGGGGCTAGTTTGACAACTTAGGAAAAGGACCGGCATTTACTCCGTCGTCAGGCATGGTGAGGCAGCAAGTTCGGATATGAAGGCAGCTGAGGTTTACATCAAAACGTTTTCCGAATTGATAGAAGCCAAAAGATAAATCCCCCAGCAAGTCTTCAACTGTGATGAGACCGTGCTTTTCTGGAAAAGGATGCCGAATAGGGCTTACATAACGGCACAGAAGAAGACAATGCCAGGTCACAAACCCATTAAGGATAAATTAACTCTAGCACTTTGTGCCAATGCGAGTGGCGATTGAAAAATCAAGCCTCTGCTAGTATACCATTTGGAAAATCCCAGAGCCTTTAAGTCACGTACGATTTTAAAAGATAAACTGCCAGTTATGTGGAGGGCAAATCCGAAGGCGTGGGTCACTAGGAAATTCTTTGTGGAATGGATAAACGTGGTGTTTGTCCTTTCTGTTAAAAAATATCTACAGGAAAACAAACCTACCCATGCAAGCCCTTCTCGTCCTCGACAATGCCCCTGCTCACCCACCAAATCTCAAAGATGATTTACTCGAAGAGTTAAAGTTTATAAAGGTTCTTTACCTACCACCCCAATACCACTCCTATCCTGAAGCCCATGGATCAGCAGCCCATTTCTAATTTTAAGAAGTTGTACACCAAGTACATTTTTCGGCGCTGCTTTGAGGTGACGGAGAACACAAACCTTACCCTTCGAGAGTTCTGAAAGGACCACTTTAACATCGTGATATGCCTAAGAATTATTGATCAGGCCTGGCTGGGTGTTACAACGAGGACTTTAACCTCTGCATGGAAGAAACTGTGGCCAGAGGCTGTAGCTGAAAGGGCCTTCGAAGGATTGGAACCTGAAGTGTCAGTATTAGAGAAGATTGTTTCTCTGGGAAAATCCATGGGTTTGGAGGTGGATAAGAGAGATGTGAACGAACTCGTCGAGGAACAGTCTCGAGCTGACAACCGAGGAATTACACGTTCTATATTCGCAGCAGCATATGCAGCATTCCCCTATTAACCATTCACCGATTGTAGTTGATATCAGACTTGGAGTGCTATCCATATTTATCCTTCTAGCTCACAGGTGGCTGGACTTATGAATTTTAAAATTAGAACATCATGTTAGTCTTATGAAGAACTTTTAGGAGACATCTTTAAAGACTGTTGCAGCAATCTATCCGCATTTATAAAACATTTATCGGAGAGGGGAAAAAAGCTGTTGCACTATTAATTACTGTAACATAACCATATCTCTTATATAAATGATGATCCACTATCCACTTCAGACAGAGCGTGTTCTGCTTTTCAGTCACGTTGTTTCGCTACTAGTTCAAACTTGCTAATTCACGGCTGTGTATATTAATTGACGGTTATTCCGCATCAGTGGTAGAGCCAAGAGCCAACTACGAGTTAAAATATCCCTGTGCAGCTTCGGTTGGTAATTCAACTTAGATTTAGTTTTAATTTAGCGTTTCTATTTTGAGTTCCGCCAGAAGTATTGGGGAGGACTTGCAAGGACGAGGAATTCCAACTGTACATACTGTTCTTGACTGATTAAAAGAGTTTTTTCACCCTTTTTCTTGTGCTGTTACTGAAACAGTTGAACTTAGCGAATAGCCGCTTCATAGTTCAAGAAAGGATCTAGTCTTCTAGGTAACTTAGCCAGAACCTCATGACTTTCTTATGTTCCAATATATATATATACATAAAACAGTAAAAGTAAATGCAAAATGATTATCACAAACAAAATAGGCTAGTTTTGGTTAGATTGCGCATTCGGTGACAATGCTGCTAAACTACAGACGGGCCAACATGTGTAAACAAAAGAATTCATTACGCAGCACTTGAATTAACAACTAAGATAGGCTGCTGTGGCATTCAATTTTATTTCTAATTTTTATATTTTTCGAAAAGAAAATATAAATATTCTTTATAATTAAAAATGTAATTTATTCACAAAATTTAAAATAAAATCTGTACATATGAGTTATCAAAGATGGATTCGGAAACAAATTTATTAATTTAAAATTATGTTTCGTATTTTAAAAACTGAAAACGTAATGGGCCCTAAGGCATTAACTAATCTCGTCTATCTCTAGCACTGGGCAGAAGAATTTAGGATCCACAAGATTGCACTGGGCATCAAATTGCTCTGGCCCCGGATCCATGCACCCATTTTTTTAAGAAAACTCAGCAGCCATTGTTTGCTTGTAAGACTGATATTAAACCTTCCAGGAAACCCAGCCATAACCTTCTTGAGCAATTTTATTCACTTTTCCATTTAGATGACCGAATCTAATGTATGCATATTGTCTTGTATTTTCATACCTGAAAGAGAAAGATGTTATAAGGGTTTGGAAAACCTGAGCTAAAATGCGGCATCTAAAAAAGGGTAAGAAGGATTCAGTTAGGTTACATGAAGAAGGCAAAGGACAGGAGGGCTAGCTACTTGAGTAAAGGAATACCATTGTGGAGGACTTTCTAAGACAGAGGCTCTTAATCAGGAGGGGAATTTTTCCTCGCGCGGGACTTTCAGGGGGAAGTGGTCAGCCTTTAATTTAGCTGTTAAGTATTTGGTTTCAGTTTATCTACACACACAAAAAAAAAAAAAAAAAAACTACTTTATTCAAGTTTTGGTATTTATCGACATTTTCTATATCTTTTTATTGCTTAATTTATAAAAACATGTTAAAAAATAAATCCAAATCTAAATAAAATTATAGTATTTTTCGAGTTCGGGTAAAGAGGGAAAATGGTCTTCTAGCAGTGGCGACAGGGGTGCATGGAAAAAAAAAAAAGGTTGAAAACCAGTGTTCTAATGGAAATAGCTAGTTTTTATATTAGACATGAGGAAATCGCGGAATCGCCCATTCAGCTAGACTGATCTCCGGGATTTAAAAAAAAATGGCTAACGACTAATAGTTAGCAGTCTTAACCCCTCAGTCGTCAGAAGATCATTATTATATCTGTCTAGAAAACATTCTTGAGGAGATCATTATTATATCTGTTATATCTCGTGAACTGCTATCAACTGGTACATCGGACATGAGATTTATTTTCAAGCATTTAAAAAATCCTTCTGTAAAGAATGCCTTGAATAACTGTATAAGGATATTTATGCTCATCAAAGAAAATATCATGGATGTTTCTTTATTCTCTGTAAGCTAATGACATTACTGCCAAAGAATTATTGCCATATTAAATTACGTTATAAATTTTCGATATCGTTTAGGTCTTTGTGTCAATGCTAATAACTCTTTTAAAATCATAATGTGTGAGTAATATTTGAAAGGAAATCAGTCTTCTTAATTTCTATTTTATAAATGCTGTGAATTCTTTTGTTAATTTCAAGAATAAAAATCTCATAAAAAGGATGTGTCTTTTTTCCGTGAATGAATTATTAATTATTGATTATTAATGTGAATGAATTATTAATTATTAATTGCTGAAAATTTATATTTAATTTTCTTTCCCCACGTTCTAGTGAAAATCACGTTCAGAAATGGTGTCCAAAAATTTGAAATAAAACCGCTGCTTTTTATTACATGAAGAGAAAGAAAATGCAAAATACGTTGGTAGAGCAGTAAGTTGCTTTATTTTTTTAATATAATTGTACTCTTTTATGCACTTATACAATCACTTGTAGTATATAATTTTATAGTATCAGTGTGACATGTAGTATGTAATTTTTGTATGTAGTGTAGTGTGACATGTAGTATGTAATTTATCAGCATATTCGTTCTCAAAACATTTTTTAACTTATAAGGAAATTTAACTTAAAATGAATTTGTTAGTTTTAGTTAGATATCATAAAGCACAGTTAAAGTAATAACAAATATGACTAACTGAAACGAGTATTAATCAATTTCATAATGCAATCAATCAGGATCTACCATCAGCCGAGTGGTAAAGTCGCTGAACACTGTTAGTTTGAGATGGGGTTCGTTTCCGGTTAAAAGAACTATTTGCATGAGCGTTTTGATTTAGTCCTAGTATACCGTACATACGGGATTAGGTGACTTTTAGCGACATTATGATGAGCAGTAAACACGGTGTTTATGACGAGCAGTATGTAAATAACAATAGCATACAAAAAGCTACGGTTGCCTTTTAAATTACTCAAATGAACTACAAGTTCTCCAGATGAATGAATGCGATAATTTAAAAAATTAACCGCTTTTTTTTTTCAGTTAAAAATGAAGCTTCAAATTTGAGTTTCTAACACAAAAAATATTTTAAAAACAAAAACTGAAATCACAGCATTCTAAAGATTACGTAAAAAAGAATGAATATTTTTCTTAGCAACAATAATTATCGTTGCCATTCAATAACAGGAAAAGTAGTGATTAAAACCCAGCTGAAAACCGTAGGTGAAGCAGAAGATAAGTTTAAATAGTGATATTTATTATTTTACAATTTGCAACAAACTCCCACCTTGCAAAGTGAAATTTACAAATCGAACCTTGCAATCCAAATTTAGAACAAGTATAATTTCCAAATTTGTGAGTGATTTACTTACATCCTATGCAATTGCCAAATTTGAAAATAAAAAAATAAAAAAAATGGTACTTTTCCGTTTTGCCGGCGCAAGCGATAAAGTCGCCAATAATGGTACAACCGATGCCAAACGGAATATTCCGCTGGTAACCTTTTACGCCTCGTTTTCAAAACAAGTCGCAGCTTTTTCTTATCAGATTGATTGTTTCTTTCAATACTGGCATATAATTACATAAAATTTTTATCAGATCAGTCTAAGGCCATTTTTGGTAATTAAGTCAATTAGGATGCAATCACAGCGCTTACCTGAAGCCGAAAATATAGAAAAGGTAAAGTCAAGGGTTCAATTCATCAATTCTTATGAGAATGCATTAGCGAAGTAAAGCACTGCAGTTTTACAAAATTTCTGAGCAAGCTATTCGTACGAATTGAAATAATTCTTGCACTTAAACTTGTGTTCCAAATTAAGATTTAACTTGAAATTAATGTAAATAACTATAGACAGCATTAGATTTCTGTAGAGTAGTTTACGTGAGATCAGATCGCTTGGGGTCACGTGATATGAACCGTCGAATCAGGATATTGAACCATGAAAGCATAGTAAATTCTTAAATTAATGTCTTTTTACAAATTTATTGTCTTTATTTATTGGCTTTTTATAAAATTTTAAGCGATAATTAAATGTTTATGCCTTCAAAATAAAAAAAAAATCTTAGAACTAACATTTAAAAAATATTTTTTATGTGTATACTGTATGTTGTCGCCAATAAAGTCTGCTTGGCGAGATCTGCGCCGGCGAAACGGAAAAGTACCAAAAAAATAAATAAATAAAAAACAAGGTTTATAAATCCATTCGATAAAGAATTATTATGGTTCTTCCTGATTTACTTTTCGGAAGGAGTCTCACTTTAATGGTATCAGTGTTCTCAACGGAAGGATCGAGAATAGTTCTGACGGATATGACACACATGGTTCTTCCTGATTTACTTTTCGGAAGGAGTCTCACTTTAATGGTATCAGTGTTCTCAACGGAAGGATCTAGAATAGCTCTGACGGATATGACACTTTTTCTAGAAGACTTCAAGACATCAACAATGGATAAATTCTTTTAAAAGGATATATGCTGTCACCCTTGCAGGTTCTTGCTCTCGCAACTTTAGGGACACCGTCTTTTCCAAGATGGATTTCTAAATTTATTCCAAGAGGCCAGTCGATGCGTCGGACATGATCATGCCCAATTAAAACAATATATCCGTTAGACTAGAAGAGAAACACGCTAATGTGACAATCAAAATCGTAAAAACAACCTTGTATTTAGCGTAAGTATAATGAAACACTCAATCGATTTCGAGGGCAGCTAAAGGTCGCTCCTCATCAGGAGAAAGAAATACCTAGAAAGAAGAAAATAAAGGAGAAGGAGTCTCAGAAACACGTGGTCCTTATCAGCACTGCACTTAAAAAACCACGTGCAGTGCTGATAAGGACCACGTGTTTCTGAGACTCCTTCTCCTTTATTTTCTTTTTTCTATGTATTTCTTTCTCCTGATGAGGAGGGACCTTTAGCTGCCCTCGAAATCGATTGAGTGTTTCATTATACTTACGCTAAATACAAGGTTGTTTTTACGATTTTGAATATCTCCGTTGTTTAAAGCATCTTTTCTTCTTACTCCCTTGTGGAATAAAAGAGCAAGATACTCACTTCTAAATCTTTGTCTAAGATTTTAACGTAATTTATGTAAGTACTTTATGCGTTTTATCAAGGAAAATCGGTCTAGGTTGTCATGATCTTGAGTCTCGTAGTTGCTGCCTCCATGAATAAACATTCCAGGTGTCAATGGTACCAGTTCACATGGGTCATCTTGTATGTAGGTCAGGGGTCTAGAATTTAATACTGATTCACGGTCACATCGGATGGTGAAGCTCTTCGCAGTCTATGGTGGATTTTTCTACCATCCGCTTCCTCCACCCACCCCGCCATGTGGCTGTGGATGGAATAACTTTCCAAGCGATTTTCTGAGCGGTTGAGTGGACAAGTATTTTATCTCAATTTAATGCTTCGAACGCACTGTTTGTTCCTACATAGTTCGAGCCGTAATCCTAGTCAAGACCTGAAATCCTGCTTCTTCTCGCAATAAATCGTCTTAAGACTTGAATGTAATCATCTGTAGTGAGTGACTGGACTAATTCGAAATGGACCATTCGGCATATGGCGCAAGTGAATAATACGATCCAAGCCTTATCTTCCTACCTTAGGTAGAGAGGATACCTCTAAGTCTCTTGTCTGAGTAACTCTATCTCTAGGTAGCGAAGCGAAATGAGCTTCTAGGGGTTTAGATCTGTAACGCAAGTTACACATTTAGAAGGAATTTGTTTTGCTAACTTTTTAGCTTTAAGAATCCAGAACCTTTTCCTAAGCCTGGCAAGTAAGATTGAAGAACCTGCATTTTTTCATGCTCTTCGCGGATTAACTTGAGGACGACAGCATAGCCAGGTAAGAAAATTGAGTATCTGAAATCTTCTTTTTCAAGATTGTCCACAAGTTTGGTTCTTATTCTCAGAAGACCTACTTTATCTCTAAACGCTTGCATTTTAATAAGAAGCTTCTCGTCTTGGAAAGTCCATAACTGTATGCACTTGAAAAACATAACTTGCGCTTTTTTGAAGTCTTCATAGCTCAAGTTACCTTGTTTTCATGCTAAATGTTATGGAGAAAACGCAGAATCCATGCCGCTAATCCATGCCGATATTTCTTATATTGGGGGGGGGGCGGAATGATCGCTCCAGATTTCTGTTACTTGAATATTTACCACAGAAGGCACGATTGTTATTTTCTCTTAAAGTACTTTTTCATCATTGACGTCCAGTTCTGTTTTGGTTACTGGCCATTCACAAGGTGGAAGATACAACTAGATGGGACGCTCGCACCATTTCGAATTTCATAATATCTGCGCTGAGCAACTCCTACTCGGAAGATCTGCAGGATTTAAAGATAGACACATGTCTCCATGCTTTAACAGGTGTCAAATTCCTAATTTCTATAACGCGGTTCTGAACAAATACACTCCACGAGTCTTCTCTTTTTAACCAAACTAATACAGTCAGTCCAAAAATAAGCATTGTCTGTTTGAAACTCTTTCAGGATTTCCGAGGAAATAGGAGCAGAAAATAGTAGCACCAATGAGTTCCAACATAGCAATTTTTGTTTCTTTTTTACCACAAGCAGCAGTTCTAATTTTACTATGCACCAGTAGTACACGAGCAATGCTTTCCTTACCAACTCGAAGAAAGACTACAGTCGAATAAGCAAGTTTGCTCGCATCACTGAAAAAATGTAGTGAAATGTGCTCGAGTTCCTCACAGTGGAGACATATTGGCACCTTAACATGTTGCAAATATCTGAGCTCATTTAACCATTTTAAAAAATCTTGATGTGTTTTTATATCAACTTCTTCATCCCAACTAATTTTTAACTTCCGCAAGTTTTGTAGCCAGAGTTTTGGATGTAGTATCATGAGACCAGTTATACCGAGAGGATCAAAACTTTCTGCGAAATAGCTAAAATATTTCTTTTGGTGATTACTACGTTCGTAACTTCTTTCAAATCAAGTATGTTTATGGAAAAAATATCACAATGTGTGCCCCACATCATTTCTAGAGCGTTTGTTGGACTTACTATAGATTCAGATGGATTACTGTACTCCCACTCTCGTAAATCAAATTTTATTTTAGCCATAATTTCAATGCAACTTTAATAAATTGCTTCAGCCTGATTCAGTTTTGAAGCTAGTCAAGCAATTATCCGCATAAAAGCTGAGCATCAGTTGTCGGATAATATCTTCAGGATATTTTTAATTCTTTTGCTTGGCTTCATCTAGTTTTCTTTTTAAATGCTATCGGATAGTTGACCTTAGCAAGAACGGACTACAAGAAATACTAAAATCAACTTTGCGATGATCATAATGTTTCAGCTTATCATCTTAATTGTACCATAGAAATCGGAGGAAATGTCTATCCTTTTTATAGAGACTTATTTGCAAAAACGCTTTGCGTATATGAGTTGTTATGCCAAATTTATATAAGCGGAAC